AAATCATTTTGATTCTGTGGACAATGATTGCATGCTTCACTTCTAACAGAACCCTTTGATTCCATAAAATGTTGAACTTACATTGGCATGGCAGAAGAGCTGTGAATTCCTCTTGGCTCGAGTATTTCATCCACTAATTGTTCAGATATTTTGGTAAAAGCCAAAAAGTGTCAATCTGACAGTGGTGTTACATATAAAGTCAAGAAACTTTCCAAATTCCAAAGCATTTATCCTCTGGGTTCCAGTTTTTTCGAGATATTTCAGTCCTGACAAGGGGTGTAGGACCTTCACTGACCAACAAACTGACATTGCCATCCCTAAAGCTGTCCTGCTAGTGTGTAACAATCAAGAAACATCAGTGTATCTCAGTGCTGTTGAAACAGACTAGTCATGCATTAAAAGATGCAATCAGCAGTCCTCACTCCATCATGCTCAAAAAAAGAAAGCACAAGACCTCCATCATGGCTGCCACAGGGGTTTTTACAGTACTTGAAACCCCCACAAAGGTTCATGTTCAGTCGTGGCTGAGCATTCATGTCGCTCAGGTTTTGTGTTCTTGTTTTCATTTTGAAAAGCTCATCTAAAATGTCAAACCTTTGGGTGTCACTGTGACGAACAAGGGATGCAATCCAGTGCTTAGAGTTTAAGCATATTCCCAAAGCAGCTGACGCTGGAAATGAACCTCGACTGACCTTCTGTACAATGTGCTTGCAGGCTCTTTCTTTTCTTTTCCTTCGCTTTTTCAGTCAGCTAATCGTTACTAAGCACAGTAAACTCTTACTTTTGGACAGAAAGTCCTTTCTTCTTAAAATAACTTAGTCTATTTATATGTATATATGTGTATACTGAACTTCTTAATCCTTTAAGTGGTTGTGATTCAGGACCATGGGCTTGTTGAAAAAGAGGAATAATGTCTTCTATTAGCTTGCATTATATAAAAAAGCTAGAAGAAATCAAATTTAATTAACTGGCTTTGTTTAGAGGGATGTGGCAGAAGAAGGCCTCTCTTGTCTTCTTTGTTTGGAGAGTTGGAAGGGAGAATATTAGAATCAAGGCCAGAGACAGCTGTAATTTATAAGATTGTGAAAGAACATGTGGCTTCAGGGGGCTTTTAAAAGCATGAAGGCTCTTGTAGCTATGGAGATACACTGGCAACACAATGGTAATACTGTCTGCAGAAAAGATAACTGTAAAACACACACCAAGAGAAATATGATGGCAATAATATTTGCCAACTACATCCCTCTTGCATCATGGTGATTGCTCCTCTTGGTTATAGATGGCTATCCTCTAAATTAGACCATTTACATAATTAGTCTGGTTGCCAGTACAGGGCACGACAAGCCTTGCCACTTGCTCATTACTGCTGTCACTCATTTTTGCATGTCAAACTGGTTCAACTTGTCAATTGAGCTCAGCTTTTTTTCTTTTACTTACAAGGAGACACCAGTGTTGTTGATGTATTAGCTTTCAAGAAAATTCAATTCCCAATGTGCTTGCTAGTGCTTGTGTCTAATGTCTACCCCCGAGCAATACCCTGCATGTGAAACTGTGCCATTTTAAGGTTGAACATCTCCAGAATTAGTACAGAACATAGTTGCTCCAGCTTTAAAGCCTTTTGAGCAGGCCATTCTCCTTGTAAGCACTCCATGGAAAAAGCACTTTTACATGTCACTGAAGTGGAACAATGGGCTTGTAACAGAAACACATATCTGACAACACGCTACATTAAAAGAAAAATCGATTTTTATTAAGAAAAAGGCAAGCCACTTCTATTATCTTTTTCTTTAAAAGTAGCCTAGAGGCTGTCTTTTTACCATTACCCTTTAACATGGACCAGGTCCCCAGTTGCCTCTTTTGAGTTTTGAAAGAAACTAATAGATAGAAACAGTCAGTCAAAATCTAGTAAGATGTGTGGCTACATAAAGAATGGTGTCTGGGTCCAGATCCAGACTGCTGGCCACCTATTGTTGAGGGCATAGAACAGAATTTATAATGGTCTCTAACAAAATAATGCCACACTTCTTAATTATTTTAAACAACTCACAATATAAAACATTTTTCTTTGGACAAGGTGTTTCCCTTAGATTATAAAATGTATTCACTTGGACAGTTTGCATTTTGGAAAACACTTCCCCCAAAAAACACTTTCTGAGAGGCAGACTCACTTTAGCATTCTCTTGAACGACTAGTGTCCCCACAAATTCAAAACCTCCACATCAGTGCCGGTATAAGCAGTAGAATTTAAACAGGAAATAAAAAACCTTCTTTTTAAAGTTTTCTTCAGAAAGTCACATGTTTTCAATAGTTTGAAAAAAAAATAAAATAAATAAATAACCAAACTCTGAACCGCTATACCTCTGAGCCACTGTATGGATGTATCATTGAAATTATTGTAGAAACACAGCCATACTGCCAACGCCACGATAGGTGCGCGAACAGCTGTAACAAAACAAGAGCTGCAACAGTAGTAAGTTTTCTAATGTAACCAAATTTTCTTTTCTTGTAACGTAACAGCACTACTCTTTAGGCAACAGCAGCTCAACCCAAATATGCTCCAATAGCAAAGTTTAGCAGCAACTTATTTAATTTGAATCAATTTCTCGCTATTATAATAACAATGGAATTTGTTTGGTACCCTAAAAAATACCGGGTTCGTGACTCAAAGCATGCGCTAACCTCATCATCTGCTAGGTTGCCTGTGACCCATGTAGAGTTAGGCTTGGGCTAGGTTCATTTCTACCCATAATATGTAATTTTTACCTATTTGGTATTCCCAAATGACTATCTTATAATGCCCAAAATGCATCTTAGAGAGATGATTTGATAGATGACTTCTGTTTTCTGGAACTGTGTTGTTTAGCATGAGACTCAACAACACCCTAGCCCTACCAGTAAACCGTTTACTGGCCATCAGACAGTGTTGGGGAGTAACGGATTACATGTACCGCTGTTGTTCTGGGAATCCATCCTACCTGGCAAACCATCCTACCCGTTGTTTCTGCGCATGCGCACAACACGAAATTAAGTGGCGAACCGTCCTACCTTTGTGAATATTAGCTAGAAAAATACTCTGATGGGTTAAATTAACTGCCAAACCATCCTACCTTTGTGAATGTCACCTACAAGCATACTTAAACAGCTAAAATTAAGTGGCAAATTGTCCTACTTTTGTTAATCTGAGCTAGAAGCATACTTTAACAGCTAAAATTAAGTGGCAAATCATCCTGCCTTTCTTAATAAGAGCTAGAAACATACTCTGACGGGTAAGATTAAGTGCCAAACCATGCTATCTTTGTGAATGTTACCTACAAGCATACTTTAATGGGCAAAGTTAAGTGGCAAACCGTCATACCTACTTAAATTGGTGCTGGAGTTACTCTGTGACAGCAGAAATGTGCATAAACTACTTATGGTAGGACGTTTTGCCAAAGTAGGATGGTTTGTCAGAACACCGTTACGTATTTAAAATACAAAATATGCGTAACTGTATTCCGTTACAGTTACCATTTAAAAAGGTGGTATTCAGAAAACAGTTACTTTGCTGAAATAAAGGGATTACATGGTGGTTTTTTCCTGTTTCATATGTTCGGCTATGCCCTCTCTATTTTTGGTTTCCATGCCCCAAACAAAACGCGCATTAAGAGGCTCTAATGCCTGTATCTCAATCTCGCGGCCCATGTCACCCCTACTTGTATGGCGTTATTTTTGTGCCACTATTCTGAGCGCACGTAAAAAAAAAAATTGAGCACACGTAAAAACAGATTAGCAGGTGCGCTATGAGGAGAAATTTATTTTGAGCGAAGAAAAGCTAAATTTGAGTGAACAAAACTCATTGCTGCATGCAAAAAAATGTATTTTTGTAATATTCACAAAAATAACGCCATATACTTGCGGCCGCATAATGACGTGAAGAAATATTTTTAAAAAATTATTCACAAAAATGATTTAATATGAAGGCAATAGGCAGAGTGTTATAGGCATCGCCCTAAGAATGTAGCCTCATGGGCAGTGTAGTCCGTGCTGCAGGGAGAATGGACTGCCATACCCGTTATGTGTCTGTGAGCGAGGGAGGGAGAAAAAGGAGAGTGGAAAAGTACGAGTTGTCACCGAGCAGAAACGGGAGCTGGAAGCATGTAAATATAATAATAACCACTGCAGCCAAAAAGAGTGCCTGACGAGCCCAGTTGTAAGTAAGCTATTAAGACTCGACTGTACAGTTTTTTCGTGTTTTTCTCCGAAACAATAAGTTCTGTTGAAACGCCTCTCTCTGTCTCTCGCTAGCAAAGCTGACCCAGATAACAAATTAAAGCTAGTTTTCAGTTACGAGCCCGACACAGAACCCGACGTATTAGCCAGAGGTCCCTTTACTACGGTTCGGAGCCGCAGACCTGTTTTATATACGCATGAAACAGTTTTCTATATGAGATCGCTGCAAAAAATGCAGCCTTACCTAATGTCCACCCTACCGTTACTCATTTTATATTAAGATTTAAAAATCTAGTCGGTATTGGTATGGCGAGTAACCTTCAGTAAAAGTAATAATTCACATTCATGTAGTTGTAAAAAGCATGATAATATAATAGGTAATCCAAAGTATTCAGAATACGTTACTAACGGAATACGTTACAAAATACATTTTGGGGCATGTATTCTGTAATCTGTAGTGGAATACATTTTAAAAGTAACCTTCCCAACACTGCCATCGGATGTATGTTACTTTAAGAGGTTAAGATGAAAACTACAGTAAATAATTCAAGAGAATTTGTTCACTATGGTTGTACATAATAGATTTCAAGGAAACAAGTTGTTCAGTTGGTCTGCAGTCCACTCAACTACTAACAAAAACTGGCTGTATATAACATATATAATTTAGGCATAAAATAAAAACTGTATTGTTGCAACAATCTTTTCTGTATTCTTTATTTCAACTTTTATTTCTACCTTTCTCTCCCTTTCATATTCTTTCATTTACATCAAATTCTCCATGTGGTTTCCAGACGGCTACCCACGAGATGAGATTGTGTACAAATGGAAGCGAAACTCAGTGGAGACATCTGATCAGAAATACTGGAGGCTTTACCAGTTTGACTTCATGGGGCTCAGAAACACTACGGATGTCCTCACGACTACGGCTGGTAAGTAAAGTGCTGAGAAAAGTTCAAGGAAAGGTTGAGAACTCTTCACTTCAGTGAGAGAGAACGTGCTGAACTATAGCATTTCATTCATTTTTGACAAATAATAGTAAGAAACTAAAGAAAATAGGCAATAGTGGAGGTCACAGGGCAACTGGAGTTGTCAGGGGTTCACAGTTAAGCTGAAGAACTGTTCAGCCTCTCGTGCTGCTTCACTACCTTGGCGCCTCAAGCTTCGCACACGTTAAGATTAGCACCATGCCCATAAATGTAATCATATAACTACAAGCTCAAAGCTCATAAGTATTCCCCTCGGGTGTAAGGCCAAATAGGTTTTTCCACTGACATTAATCACCAAGATTAAACATTTAAAAAGGAAGTTTAATTATTCACTTCTTTCCATCTCCCTTCCCATGCTGTTAGACCTTGTATACTTTGACAATTTAATGTAAGTTTAGGAAAGAAAAAAGTACTGTTGCCCCAACAAGTTCCTATAACTACATGCACATTTGGGACAAGCTCTTAATGTATATTCATTCTTCCACATGACCCTTGGAGATAAAAACTGATACTGACTGGCTTAAAAATGAGGCATAATGAACGACGGATCTATCTCGAAGAACACTTCACACCAATTGTTAACCCCTTTTAACCTTGTTTATGAGTTGCATGTTCCCCGTGGTTTCAGCCATGTGCTCTTTTGTCTTCGGAGAGACGTGCTCAGATCTGCATAATGTGACCGGATTCAGCTTTCTAAGAGCTGAACCTTCATTCATTAATATTTGAGGAAGTAGAGTATGATTAGGAGAGTCATAACAGGGAGTGGCATCAAATTAAGGTGATAATAAGTTGTACTGCTTTATTCTTGTTTTGTAAAATGTAGAAGCATTGTCCTTTTTTGTAGTCATTTTCTTTCCAGTGCTTAAATACAGCGTATAAACTGTATAAAAAGTAAGGAAGCGTATGTTTGGCCGGTTATTTCTTTGTTGGAACAATGCTTCTTGGCAATAAATCTTATATAGTTTGATAAGCATATTTATTTCCCATTAAATTTTGCCACATTTGTAAGAAAAATACAATGCAGAGTATGTGGGTTGTGCCCTTGAAAAACCAACCAAATTGTCTCTGTGAGTGCCAAACAGCTTATTGTGCTACTGATTCTTGTTTTGAACTTCAGGTGAAATCAGGTGTGTACCTACAAATAGCGGCATCTGTGAACATGGACCTTGCTATAGTGTTCAGTTGGTGTCTGCTGTAAACATACTACCCTTGACTGATTTGGATAATTTGTTTCTTCAGACTTCAATCACCCAATCCAGTAAATCACACCAAACAGCAGTCAATGGCAAAATAAACTGTTTGGCATTGACAGAGAAATGTCAAGGGTTTAATGTTGTATCATCTAAGGGGAAATAAACAGGCTTTCCAACAGCAAAAGATTTATTGCCAAGAATCATTGTTACAACAAAGAAATATTCGACCTAACAGAAATTTCTTTGCTGGTATTGGTTTAGTTTATTTGTTTCAGATCTATTTTTATGCTTTTTAGTGGGGAGGGCTGATGTACAATTAAAAAAAAATGAAATTTTGCTATATTATGTTCTGAAAGTGCAACCAAAGCTTTGCCTCAGCAAAGAACAAAGGTTCATCAAGTACAATGATATATTTAAAAAACCAAATGAAGCCAACTGGGAAGCTGATTTCATAATCAAGTCAGTCCCTACAGACTCTTAATTAAAGATAGAGGCCCAACTTTTAACTTCTATGTATAGTTTCCCCCTTTATAACATCTGTATGGTAGTTAATTTTCTTTTAGGTCATTTTTGCTTTGACTGCTCTGATACAGGTTTTTATAGCTTCAGGGTCTGTTAGATCTCATTTCCACTAACTGAAGTAATTGAACATAACCTCGGTAATTTCCAGCCATGCAAGAAGTTTGTGATTCAGTTTTGGTTTGTGAATTCCTAGTGTTTTTTTTTTCAGATTGTTACCTATCAGTAATTAGTAGATATGTGTGTCTGTGCATTGTACCCATACAATTTGTGGATGTTTCACACCTTTTGGAAAAGACTTGCTATTGTGACCTTTTCTACACTACTGCTTGATTGGCATACACGGATGGGATACATGCTTTAACAAACCTAGTTGCAAAGCAGTTGGCATGTTGCTGCCATTAAATTTAAAATGAGCTACTGTTTTTTTTTCTTAAAATGATAGTTCAAACAGTTAAATAATTATTTTTTTCTTCATATAGCACCAAATCATAAAAACAGTCAGCTCTATTAATACAATGAAAACCCCAGCAATCAAACGACCTCCTGTGAGAAAGCACTCTACAACTGTGGGGAGGAAAAACTCCCTTTTAACAGGAAGAAATCAGAACCAGGCTTAGGGAGGGGACAACCACAGTCCTTCACAAAAGCCTAATAATAACTAATGATTAAATATAAAGTGGCGCAAAGAAACACAAAGATCATGGAAAACTTCACCAGCAGCCTAGGCCTACTGCAGCATAACTAAGGGAGGATTTGGGGTCACCTGGTCCAACCTTAACTATAAACTTTATTTCTAGCTAACCAGCTAAAAATAAATAAAGAAAAAACAACTATATGTGCTGCTAAAGATTTATCGGGGAACACAATATATGATCCTGGAAGAATAAACAACATTTTTAGGGATTTCTATGAAACTTTATACTCACCACAAATAAACCCATCTAAAAATGAAATTGATCTGTTTCTTGACAACGTAACTCTTCCAAAATTACTAGACAGCCAAGCAATGGAACTGGATTCGCCACTGATGCCAAGTGAACTCCAGGAAGCCCTGATAAGTATGCCCAATAATAAGGCTCCAGGTCCAGACGGCTTCCCTGCAGAATTCTACAAAGAATTCTGGACAATTTTGGCACCAGTATTCCACGGCATGTTGCAGGAAATCGAGGAAAATGGCAGACTACCCCCAATATGAATTCTGCCAACATTAGTCTCCTGCTAAAACCAGGCAAAGACCCTTTACTTCCCTCAAGCTATCGTCCAATTTCTCTTTTAAATGTAGACCTTAAAATAATCTGCAAAGCTCTCTCAAAGA